CCATAGGTGTCTGGCAGATCCTACTGGATATGGGAATTATGTCATCAGGTTAGTATTACATGTTTTGAAGGCATAGAATCATTATTAAGCTACCAGACCAAAATACAGTTGATTTTCTAGAGGTTGTTACCATCTGGATGGAAATTGTTTTTGCAGGTAAATATTTGTATTCTCTCTTATTTTAGAAATAAAAGTGACACATTGTTATTTGATTGTTACTTCTCTCATACCTTTTGTAAAAATAATTAAGGTATAGCTGCTGACTCATAGGCATGCACCTATAAGAGTCTTTTCCTTCCCTCCTCCCGTCTCTATTCAAAAGGCAGCTCGCATTTTTTTTTTTAAACCGGTGACATATTTAGTTGCCCTAAATGTGTGATTTATCTTGCTATACTTAGAATAATCATCATGAACCATTAGTGGAATGTGTATGCCATCTTGATTGACTAAGTAATCATGAACAGTTAGAGATATGACCTATGAAAATTGGCTGTTTAAGCAGAACACAAAATTGATGTTAACTAGAAACTAAAGTAGATGGTGGATATCTTTTTTCTTTGTTGAGCCCAGAGAATTGAAAAATTAGAGGTCAGAACAATCTGGATTCTTCATTTAGCTCTGTCACACAGGTGCTGGCTGGTCACTATGAAGCCCTTTTTTTCTATAGGTAATGTGTACTGGGGGCCAGAGAACATTGTGAGGTTCAGAAAGGCATAAGGCATATCCTAAGTCCCATTGTGAATGAGTGGTGCAGATGGGGATGTGAGTATAATCTTAGTTAGTTAATAGTACCTAGCACCTGATATTATTATTTAGAAAATCAATTAGCCACCTTTGAAGAATGTTATCAGCTTGCTTGTGCAGTTAAACAAAACATTGTGTTAATGTTTTCTGGATAAGTCTTCTGTTATTGATTCCTTTAAAACGACGTTTCCCAGCCTTGGTAGGGTTGAGATTTTGGGCTGGGTAATTCTTTGTTGTAGGGGGCTGTTTTGTACCTTATAGAATGTGTAGGAGCAGCTCTTTCTTCTACCCACCAGATGCCAGTAGCACCCCCTAGCTGTGACAACCAGAAGTATCTCTAGACATTGCCAAATGTTCCCTTGGGGTCACCGTCTCCCTGGTTGAGAACCACCAATCTAAAACTTGCCATCTTTTTGTATTCGAGTGCCACTAAAATAATTAAATGTATTAGTTTGCTTTGAGCCACTAAAAAAATTTCTCCTCACTGTCTTCGAATTACTACAGATTTCACTTGTCCCTAAAGCGGAAAAATGATAAAATATATGTGAATATGCTAGCCAAAGCTTCAAGGAATAAAAATAGATTGGTCATTAAATCCTTTTTAATCAATTGAATTGTGAACATGAATGGATTTAGAATGTATAAAGAGTCCTACCCATGGTTTCTCCCTAACAATTAGTAAGGCTTTCAATTTAGTATTTGGTTTATGACTCTAAATAATACGCTTTAAAAAACTGACCCACACCTTTTTTGTTTGTTTGTTTCCAACAGTGGACCAGCATTTATACTTTCAAGATACCTATGTTTTCTATCAGTTTTCATCTGACGAATGTAGCTATTTGTACTGTGAATTCGAAAGAGAAGAAGAATGGCAGAATGGTGTCAAACTTTTACTGCAGCTTGTGCCTCTCATTCCCACTAGAGCTGGCCTCTGTGACCTGTAAGTAGATACTATTTTGTTCCGTTGTTAAATTATTCTCACTTAGAGAACGTTTACCATGTCTAATGTTTACTGTTCTTTACGATTACCACCTCCTTCAAAAGCTAGTCGTTCTATTCCCATTTCTCGGATGCAAGTTCAGAAAGCTAAAATAAAGTGCTGAAAATTAAATCAGCTGATAAACGACTGAACTGGTATTTAAATCTCAGAAGTCTGTGCCTTGCCAGCTGCACCATGCCACACCATGCTGCTTCTAATTTAATCATCGCTATAGGAATAGATGATCCAAATTAGGAATAAACATAATTTGGCTTAAGTTGGAAATAAAATAATAATTTACATCTTATCTACTATCCAAGTCGTGACTTTCCTAAGAAAGAACTCAACAGACATTTCTGAAAATAATCTAGAAGCAACATTTGGCAAATTAAAGCACATGAGTCATTATCACATGAAGATACTGAATCACTATATGATTAAAATGAATTAAAATTAACTCAGTGGAGAAGGTTTGGGAACAGGACTTGTCATGCTATGGAAATTCTGACATGCCTTTGTTTATCCACAGCATTAATGACAAGCTTACTTCATTATAGTGAATTGCAGATTTAAAATTTCTGTTAAGAACCTTTCCATATTCAGTCAATAACTTTTACATATTCAGGTTTCTGAATACATTCCCATGCTGTTGACTCTTTCAGTTCTGTGAGATTAGCAGGGCAAATGACGTTATCCACATCTCATGGGTAAGAAAGTAAGTTCAGGGAGAAACACCTACAACTATAACAAAGAAAAATTACTCTTGTTGAAAAAAATGACAATTAATACTGAACAATTAATGCAGGCTTTTATAAAAATAAGTGTTAGAATACTAATGAGACACTGTGCTAATAGAAAGGTTGATTGTAGAGAATATGTTTTATGTCAGGATCTATGCTAAATGCTTTATGTTCGTTATTTCATCTTCAGATGAATTCTATAAGACAGTTACTACTATTATTTCTATTTTGTAAATTGAGAAGTCAGGTAATCTGTCCAGGGTGACACAGCAGCGAGTGGAGTGTTTAGGGTTTGAATGTATGTCTAACTGGTTATAACGCCCACACTTTTAACATGTGCTCCCTTGGAGTTATGGGGGTCATTCTAGTTTCCCTTGCTGAGATGTTATAAACAGAAGCTATAAAAATGTTGGAGTGACTCTGGAATGGTTATGAATTCACCACGACTGTTTATAGAGGACCTGGCAATGATAAAGCAAAATTCAAATATAATTCACCACTCAATTGTCCAAGTACAGAAAATATGCTTTTAATATAGGTCAGAAGTTTCAATAAACTTGAACCAGCTTTCTAAGAAGGAGTGGTATGCTTTTTTAGCTAAAGGTAGCCGTCACTAGCTTTGACTCTGGCATTCTCTAGCAACTGTTAACCATTTCCTATCCTGAATGCAAGATGGGCATGTGTGCAGTCCCATGGGCATACACAGATTCACGGCGGCAGAAGGGCACTGAAGTCAGCTTGCTGGCGGGCCTCATGCGTTTGCAACACTCCCTTCTCCCCGCTTAGGGGCAGATTGGAATGCCAGCGAGGTCACTTGTCTATAGGAAAACCCCAAGTCTACTCTCAGTTCTGAAAATGGAAATGTTGTAAAAATCCAGGTCTTAATATTTATTCAAGCT